TGTAGTAACATAAAGCAAGTGATACTAACAATTTCATAAACTTCATTTGTGTCGGCAGCAACACCACATTTGTGCAGACAAATACCGGTGCGGCGCGAAGCCTGCGAAGTTTTCCAACTGAAAAACATCAACGATGTACATTTACCGCCGAGGTAGATGAGTGACAACGCCGTTATGACTAATTGTTCAGCAGAACGAAAAATGACTGGAATCGGCTGGGTGGGGGATTAAAAAAAAATTAAAATTTTTAATTGTATCGAGCCCTAACCGCCAAAATAACGTAAGCGACATTTTTTTTCAAAATTTTCTTTTTGATGCAGAAATATTCCTAGAGCATCTAGATACATTTCTGCATCAAAAAGAAAATTTTGAAAAAAATGTCGCTTACGTTATTGTGGCGGTTAGGGCTCGGTATATAGTTAATAAAAGATTTTTACATCGTCAGCCCACCAGGTACCCACCTGCGATTGCGTGGCACAATAGGTAAAATAGAGTTGTGACGTGATAACTACAAAGCCATAGGCCATTAGTATTAGAATTGGATAGCGCCATAGCTCGTTGAGTAATTTGGCAATCCTACAGGTGCTTTCGTGTAGCTGACACAGGCTGATGAAACGTTCTTGCAAAACATCGAAATTACCTAGCGCAGCATCGGAGCGCATTTTTGGAGCAGAGCGTTTGAATGGTTCACGGTGGCGTATTAATTCACCGAAGGCATTGCGCACAAGATTTTCCAATTTGATATCTAAGGGATGGGAAAAATGTATACATAAATAAATTGGCTATTGATCGTTATTTTTATCGTCAAATTTATCGATAACATTAGCAAATATATTCTCGAAAAAACATTGACGATAAAAGTTGCGTTATCTATCTGTATCGATATATATACTATATTTATCCAAATATCTAAGAATGGATGTGAACCAATTTAGTACAACATAATATATTCTAATATACATAAGTTTATTTTGTTAATTGGATAACCGGGTATTCGGTTAATATGCGATCATTAAGTTATCCACATATTCATACATTCTTATGGTCTTATTCATAAAAAATAAAGTAGCTTTATAAAAGGTTTTTAAATTGAAAAATGTATGAAAACGTCAATTTATAAAGCTCTTTAAACCTACTTTATTTTTTAAGAATAAGGGCATAAGTATTTGAACGGATTCGTAAAATTATTCACAAGTTTACTGAATATATCGAGTTGGAAAAGACTTATAAAAAACATATAGAACACTTCATTAATACACGAACAATTGTTTCATATTTATTTTTATACCCCTGGTATTATAACTTTGTTCGCCTAATGCTTGTTTTTAACAGCCAAAACGAATCGAGATAGATATAGACTAATGTAAACATAAATGGTCCTTACGAACCGAGCGGACTTGAAAGCAAGACTTGACGTGTCTGAAAGGGGTCTAATGAACAGTTGCTGATAACCACATCGTGGAATCCCAGCAAACGTGATGTGTATAAAGTTAGCGAAGCACCCCTCCAACTCAAAGATAAAAGACTAGCCAAATTTGCTGTTTTTTGCCATTCCAAGATGAGCAAGTTTACTTTTGAAAAAAATATTTTTTTTTATTAAAAAAAAAAATTAAATTATTTTGGTATTTTTTTTTTTCAATGTTCAAAAATTTTTAGAAGAAAAGAATAATGATAAAATAAAAAAGCAAAACTGGTTGCTTTATCATGGTTCAAATTCAAAAAACTTAAATTGTTTAATTTTTTTTTTGTTTAAAACGCCTTATTTAAAACATATTTAGGGACTTAGAAAGGGTTTAAAAATTGGGTAAAAATAGTAAAAACAATTAATTTTGGTGTTGCATAATTTGCATAAAAATAATAAAAACAACCAATTTTTTAGTTGCATAATTTGCCGTTTGGCTTGTTTTGTGAAATAAAACCATTTAATTTTTTTTTCGTTTAAAATACCTTATTTTTAAGATAATTTTAGGGATTTGAAAAGCGGCTTAAAAATTAGTTAAAAATAATGAAAACAAACCATTTTTAGTTGCATAATTTGCCGTTTGTCTCGTTTTATGAACTAACGCTATTTTTAATTTTGTCATATAATTTTTTTTGTTTAAACTATCTTTTTTGAAATTGTAAGTTTTTCGAAAGCGGCTTAAAAATTTATTAAAAATAATAAAAACAATACATTTTTCTGTTGCATAATTGCATTTTTGATTTTGTCGTTTAATTTTTTTGTTTGTTTGTTTGACTTGGAAAGCAGTTAATAATTAATTAAAAATAATAAAAGCAATGATTTTTTTTTCATAATTTTCTATGTTGCTCATTAAAACCGGTTTTAGATTTTTTCATTCTTTTTTTAATTGAAAAAAAAAACATTATTATCTTTTATTCAAAGCGGCTCCAGTTATTATTTATTCAAGTATTAGGTAATTGTTATTTGGGGCGCAGATTATGCAGATGGCGAAAGGCTGATACAAATTATATAGCAATTTTCTATGAAACTTGAACTCTTTGCAGAACTTGATAAGGATGCTTCTTAATATTCAGTACAGCAATTGAAAATTCAGTAGTGTACTTCCCAAATCAGTACATCTGGCAACCGTATTCCCAATTCTGACGAAGCAATACCGCTTCGTGCCGTGTTAGTTTTGCGAGATAGCAAAGTTCAGACACTGCGGCTTTTAATTAGTGCCGTCGAAAGCGGCTTTGAAGTCGACAAATAGGTAGTGAGCGTCGATCTTTTCCTCGCGGGTATTTTCCAAGATTTGCCGTATTGTGAATGCGTGGTCTATGGTGGATCGTTGACTGTGGGCTTCAGTCTTTCACACAATACTCTCGAGCTTTGTGGTTTTTCAGCCGCAGAATCGCTTTTCATACATCGTCAGGCGGTGGGACATCAACTCCATCATCATCGACTGCTCGGCTCGAGTTCGTCTTCTCTACTACTTTCAGTGCTGCCGCTATGCAATAATTTGCAAAAGTGTTTCCTCCACAATTTATGTACGTTCTTGACATCCGTCACTATGTCGCCATGTCAGGTATGTTCCAATCGACTAACTTTTGTTCTTGCGGCAAATACGTCCCGCCTCCCTCTTCAGCTCCTTATATGGGCCTCAAACAGCTCACGTTGCTTCCAAAGGCATCATACCGGTTGTTCGTGGTTTGCAAAGCTTCACCTCCGATTTGCGGAGTGCGCCTTGATGTTATCACACAAAGGGGAGCCCCGAACGCAAATTATTTTAACCACAAGCCTTTTTTCATAGGCCAAATACACTCGGAGGTTTGCCATTACCTGCCAAGCGGCGACCGCTAGTAGAAAGAATTTTTTTCTCGATATTCCTTGGACGGGGCATCGAACTCTGGACCTACGGAGAGGTAGTGCGCGCCTGCAGCCACTCGAACACGGCGGCCACCATTGTTATCGATACTATCTCTAATAGTTTTGTATCTAACTTAACTAGTTATGCATACGTTTTGATTTGTTAACACAATCACTACTTACGGCCAATATCTTCCGCTTCGAATGATAACGACGGTTGCAGCGCAACATCCCCACTTCGCTGCTTCTTCCGACTCTGTATACAATTTTTCTCAAGCTCTCCAGCGATTGTATCGAACGTTTCATTAATAGCATCAAAACGGTCTCTCAGACCCAACAATATTCCCATAAACCAAATCTTGTCTAGGGTATTGTAGAAGGTCGGTGTTGAGGCAAAGATCCACAGTACCAACGTCCATCGCAATACGTCAACCTGCAACCATATGTAAGCGGCGAATATGCAGCACTCCAACAAGACAGTCACTGCGATCATCAGCCGTATGCGTCGCTGCACATGCTTATTATCGACCGAAATACCCAGCTGTCGCAGTCCTTCATCTAAATATTCAATTCGTTCGAAGAGCGCAGGGAGTGCATTCTGATTACGTATAGCGGTTATTTGATCGACCATCATCATTACGGGTGAAATATAAGTAAGCGCAATAACGACTATGAGATTTAGATGATCTAGAGGTAAATAAGATAGTAGTTAATTTAAACCGTAAGAAAAAGTTTATTTGTTGTATTTTCTACGTGCACTTACTATACTTCGGAACGACATCATTTCCGGCAAAAGTGAACAGCATCAAATTGTAGAGCATAAAAACAAAGCACATTACGATTATCACCACACAACTGCCCACTGTGGAGCTCTGAAGTACACCGTCATAGTAGAATTTCTGAAAGTCATATGGATAGACGCCCAAAAGCTTGCACCAATAAAAAATTGAATTGAAACTTTGTAAGAGCGGCTTGGATTGCAGTTTGACTTCAAACATTTTCAATTTAGCTGCGAATAGGTTAGCTATTTACTCGCTTGTGTTTATGCTCCAAAAGGTAAACTCTAAATGTTAGCGAATTGTTAAGCTATGCAGTAATTAGTGGCGGCCCTAAGGGGCGATGGTTTTTTAATTAACGGAAATTAATAAAACACAGTAAAAATATGTGGCATGATTTTAGCGACATAGAGAAAGGCTCAATTAGAAAAATTATGGACTTATTAACAATTACATGGTAATGGCGCAGGGCCGCCAAGAGCAAAATCGGACCAAGTACTAAATATCTGCCCGGCTTCCCACTCTCCAAAAAGTTATTGCTTTAAAGAGTTTTTTTTAATCATTATTGACAACAAAAAAAAAACTAATTAAATNACATTAGGGTGGTCCAAAAATGCATGAGAAAAAGTAAAGTCAGAAGTTTAATGCCGCCACTCTCTCGTACTGTTCGAATTACCCAAAGCGTTCAAAGGTTTCCATGTATTTTATACGGGGTGAAAAAAGCTGTTCATAGAAATGGTGAAGAATTCTTGAAAATCAATACTTATCGATCGGAGAGCTCTGGTTCACTTCAGAAGACTTCCAGTACCGAATTGTTTATTAAACCATTTCTTAATATTTGGCGGACCTATAAAATGTAAATATTTTTTTGATTTCAAATTGAAAAACTTGGGGTATAGTTTTTCGGTATAGAATAATCCTAGGGTGGTGGCGGCATTAAAATTACGACTTTACTGTTTTTGGACCACTCTAATGAACATTCTATTTCAGAACTTCCCAAAGTTAAAAAAAAAAAACAATTATAATTTTTTCGAGTGAAAATGAATGTAGTGTAATTTAGGTGCCTTTTCGCCTAAATAAAAGTTTTAAGGCTAAAATTGTTCAAATCCTTGATTTATTTTTTATGGCACTTATTTCTGGAGCTGCATTGAATGAAATAAATGCCAGAAGAATACTTTAGCGTTTGTTTCTGCTTTTTCAAATAGCTCAACACCTGGCCACCTAGCGGGTTAATTCTCCTTTCATATTGTATTGTCAGCGGGCTCTGAGCCAAGTTTGAAGCTTCAAGCCTCTTGGTTATCGGGAAGTTGGGTAAAAAGAGCAAATTCACACTTAAGATTTAAAATAGAGCAAATGGCATGTAAAAACGATGTTTTTGAAATAATATATTTATCAAATTTACGATGTGTAAAATAATGAGTATAACCAAGACCACGTTCTCGCCTGAAAAGTAGACAGAAAACAGCCGATTATCGTTCGTCAAAACAGGCATTATTGTATAAGCACAACATTCGATCAAGACGATCTTCGAACAATCGGGAACCGATATTCTTTTATATCAGAAATCTGTGTGTACTTATTTAATCGTATGAGAACTCTTTTTTACTAATTTACATTTTACCAATTTTCCTCTTGAGGAAACGGCCCTTAATTTCATATACAAACTTCTTAAATAAATAAAAATGAATTTAATTCGGGATAAAATTGCAATTTACGTAAAGCTTTTAACATTTCTTTTTCTCAGTGTACACTTTTAGATGCATATCACTTATAACCTCTTAGAGTAATTACGAGCGATAAAAGTGCCAATCCATTTTCATTTGGCAATGAATATTTGAATTGTGTATTTGCATATTCACTTACATACTTTCATACATACATACAAACACATTTACTATATTAGAATATAAATACAATCATATAGTGTGCATTTTTTTATTGTTAGGGAAAAAATGAATAAATTCCTATCACTGCATAAAAACTATATTTTATTAGAGTGCGGCTGCTCTTCTGCCATCAATTCGCTTTTCGGCCGGAAATTTGTTGTAAATATGGCAAATAAAAGGCTCGTAGCTGTCACTTCTGTATGTCTGGCTCCGCCTACAATCGCTGGGAATGTACGTATGTAAATACAGATGAGAACGTAGATACATATATGTATGTATACGTGAAAAAGTGTATTTACATTTGCATTGTCCCATAATCTATTGTGTTTGTTTTCGCTATTGACGTTAACGCATATCGCGATGCAATGGGAATCGCTTCAATTGGAAAATGTATGAATTAATACATTTCGCGACAATGCAAAAAAAAAATGCACATCTCTTTTTATCATATTGCGCTTATGACAAATAAAGATAATGGCAATATTTCATATTGAAAATGGAAAGCATGTAATTATAACTATGATCTAGATTTACTTTTATACACATACAAGTATTTATATACATATGAACATAAGTACATACATACTAGTTTTTCCGCGGCCCGCTTCGCTTTCCACCAAAACATTTTTTTATATTAAACTAGCAATTACCCGGCGTGCTTCGCTGCGCCTTAAATGTATTTTTGTGTTGTAACTCTCCCCCTAAGCTCTTATGGCCTCATTTACAAAATATTTTTAAAGAACTTTATGAAGTTAGATTTAAAAAAATCGATCTATGAAGCATTGTTTATTTTTTTTTTGAGTTAATATATTTTCGAAGGTAATTAGAAAATATGTAAAGAACCGACTTTCTCTTGGAAATTTAATTTATAATCTTATAACTGGAGTCTACTATCGCACCCTTTCCTCAAACGTGTATTGATTCAATATTCAAATAACG